TTAGGAGTGCAAAAAGAAGCTGGATCATAAACTAGGGTTGGACTCTTATTTGCTGAAACCTGTTCAACGTTTAACCAAGTACCAGCTTCTTCTGAAGGTGCGTAACCAAACCAAAACAAACCAAATCCAAAATTCCACATTTCCCCCAGTATTTTCTCTAAGTGCTTCCTGTCTCTTTGATTAGGAACTACTAAAGCACAGCTCAAACTCACAGTATGCATCTGAGCTGCAGGGGGCGCTAAATGCCATGCTGGATCTCCTCAAGTCCGTCAATGACTCCATGCATCAAATTTCCATCACAGGTTATGAGGTGTGGCCAACAAATGAGAATAGAGGGCTATGTAATGGACAGGATGATTATTAAAGTGCGCCTTAAAGGTTCCTTATTTTGTTTCGAAGGTCTCCAACAATATGTTTAAATGCATCCAAGGTCAAAAAGGTTTTCCAAGGATTTGGCCTTTGTAGTCCCTACCTTTTTGCGAGCCTACTCTGCTAAGCCTCTGATTGGTCAGATAGCTCAGTCTGTTTGTGATTGGTCTTCCGCTTAAGGCGCATGTCAGAAACGGCCATTACCATGTCTGGATTTCAGCTCCGGAGGCTTCCTCAGAAATGCATACTCAGTGATACAAACAGTAACGATGCTGTCGGTTTTACTGTAACAGTAGGGCTGTCGCAATAACCGCAAAATTGTAGCTACTGACAAGTCAACCGCCGAGGATTGCAAGTAACCGCAGCAACTGCGATATTCACGTTTTTTATAAGGCTATACCCTTCTTGTTTTGAATCTCATGCATGTGTATTGAATGTTAAACAAGTTCATAAGGATAACAAGACTGTTTATCGTGGTGATGTGTCGCCTGCAGAGGCTGCAGACGCTTTGCTGCTCAGCTGAGCCTTGAAAAATGGAACTCAGTTAAAAATAATGAACACCTTGTTTCATTAGATCTATTTTAATGAATCAGTAGTTCACTTTTAAAAAAAAAACAACCTTTTGCTGATAATTTACTCACCCCAAGAGTAAAGAGTGTCATCCAAGATGTCAACGTCTTTCTTTTTTCGGTCGAAAAGAAATTAAGGTTTTTGATGAAAACATTCCAGGATTTTCTCCATATAATAGACTTCAATGGGAACCAAACGTTCAAGGTCCAAACGAGAGTTTCAGTGCAGCTTCAAAGGGCTTTAAACGACACCAGACGATGAATAAGGGTCTTATCTAGAAGTCATAACTCGAAAAAAGATTTGTTTATTTTGATGAACGAGTATGAACACGAGAGTCACGAACACTCATCACAGAACAGAGCAAGGAGAGCATTTGTGCTTATAAAACTTTAACTTTTTTATTTATTTTTGAAATGACCGATGGTTTCGCTAGATAAGACCCTTATTCATCGTCTGGTGTCGTTTAAAGTCAGTTGAAGCTGCACTGAAACTCTCATTTGGACCTTGAACCGTTTGGTTCCCATTGAAGTCCATTATATGGAGAAAAATCCTGGAATGTTTTCGTCAAAAACCTTAATTTCTTTTCAACTGAAGAAAGATCTTGGATGACATGGGGGTGAGTAAATCATCAGCAAAAGTTTTTTAAAAGTGAACTACTCCTTTAATGACTCACTCAAAGTCTGTTGTCGTAACAATGTGTGCGCTGAGTGAAAGCCTTTCAATGCGCATATAGACACTGTTTAGTTTTGGTTACGATGGTTACTGAAAACGCTCTCGTTTTTGACCATGCTGCCCACATCGTAAACTTTATTTATATAGCAACAAATACATACAAATTAAATAAATAAATAAATTGCGGTATTATCGTATATATCGCATATTGCGATATTGAGCCACTCAACATTACCCTATGAGCCCTATATAACAGTCTCATTCTTCGGAAGTGCATGCAGACATGTCTACTCTTCAAGACATGTCAACAACCCGAACCAAACTCTTTCAAGCCTCAGGTCAAAGTAGACATTGTTCGCAGACGGCCATTGAAGACAACACGTTACGTCAGTTGTTACAAACCTACATAGGTTCAGGCAGGAAGTTTTAAGACTTTTCTTTGTTGTGAGAAAATAAATCAATTTATCGTGCACTTTTATCTTTGAAACTTTCAGACCTTTTACATTCACAAACGGCTATATTACACACTACATGAAACGTAAAATCCCAAAAAGCATAATGGGGCATTTTTATGTTTAAAGTTATCGTGACTGACAGTTGATGCAACATGTTTTAGTTATTAGAATATGGCCTGCTATTAACTTTCAAACAAGTTTCTATTTGCATTCCCACACTTGCGTTTTTACATTTGTATCCAGGGTGAATTGAGTGACCTGGGCCGCGTCCTTATGCAGGGCTCCTTCAACATCTGGATCAACCATAGGAAAGGCGCTACGCGCATGAAGGATATGGCTCGCTTTAAACCCATGCAAAGGCATCTATTCCTTCATGAAAGAGCTCTGCTTTTCTGCAAGAAAAGAGAGGAGAGTGGAGAGGGACATGATCGGACAGCCTCGTACAGCTTCAAACACTGCCTGATGGTGAGAGAGAGTGAGACACCGACCTATTTGGCATTTCAATATTTGATTGGTCAGAATGCATGACTACTTTTGAATGACCATCAATGTAGAAAGATCATTTTGGTGCATTTACCTCATCCAACATGCAGCTAACCAGCCGACTTTGACCTACTTTCTACCCTTAAACCAATTTTTGAGCTTGTTGTGTTGCACTGATGTTGGAGTTAAGCACCTATTTGTTTATTCCAGCCCCATTTTAAGAGTGCTCAAAGAGATTTTTATGAAAGGGATTTTAGGCTTAACTCAAATTTCATTGGCAGTTTAAAAGCCCACAAGGTTGTTAAAATACTGCATTACAGAATTTCCAAGTGAGGTCTTTGACTCCTCTATTTCATTTGCAGATGAGAGCTGTTGGTATCACAGAAAACGTCAAAGGGGATGTAAAGAAGTTTGAAATTTGGTACAACGGAAAAGAGGAGGTGTATGTTGTCCAGGTGAGTCATTTTATCGAGGTTAAAACTCCACAGAACGCAATGGATAAAAAGTTACAAGGGCCTCTGTCATCACTTGCTAACGCCTCCTCAATACCTCCTCACAGTGAACGTTAATGTCAAGTCCTGAATGCGAATTTGTTTGTAGAACTTGCATAACTAAATAATACTGTATGTGGGTTTTTAGATATACTGTACTTCAGAATAACTAATTAGCCACATTTAAAGGAGTAGTTCACTTTTAAAAAACTGATAAAGCTGATAATTTACTCACCCCCATGTCATCCAAGATGTCCACGTCTTTCTTTCTTCAGTTGAAAGAGAAATTAAGGTTTTTGATGAAAACATTCCAGGATTTTCTACATATAATGGACTTCATTGGGAACCAAACGGTTCAAGGTCCAAATGAGAGTTTCAGTGCAGCTTCAAAGGGCTTTAAATGACACCAGATGATGAATAAGGGTCTTATCTGGACCCTTCGAGTCATGACTCGAAAAAAGATTTGTTCATTTTGATGAACAAGTTCGAACAGGAGAGCCACGCACGCTCATCACAGAACAGTGCAATGCGAGCATTTGTGCTTATAAAACTTACATTTTTTCAATTATTTTTGAAATGACCGATCATTATGCTAGATAAGACACTTATTCATTGTCTGGTGTCTTTTAAAGCCCTTTAAAGCTGCAATGAAACTGTCATTCGGACCTTGAACCATTTGGTTCCCATTGAAGTCCATTATATGGAGAAAATTCTGGAATGTTTTCATCAAAAACCTTAATTTCTTTTCGACTGAAGAAAGAAAGACATGGACATATTCGATGACATGGGGGTAAATTACCAGCAAAAGTTTCTTTAAAAGTGAACTTCTCCTTTAAGTCCAGAAAAACTTTTGCTAGTGGGAAAAATGATGTGTTTTGTAGCCTAATTGTTTTATTTTGCAGGCTCCAACAGTAGATGTGAAGATTGCATGGCTCACTGAGATTAGAAAAATTCTCAACAATCAGCAAAAGATTGACAAAGGTTCCTACTTTGCATCTTCGTTTCGGTTAATATCGGTCTTGATTAAATGAGTCGTGCTTGGTGGGTCAAACTCTGCCTTTCCTCTTTTTCAGGTGATGCTCACCCAGATAGTGAGCAGCCATTATTTACAACCTTGGGCGACAGGTGATCCTCACTGTATTCCCATAACCCCTCACATTGTATTTGCAATCTCTTCTACAGTATAGCATGGATGTAAATGTGCATATGAAAGGATCTGAAACTTAGCACAATAATGAACAGGTTTTATCTTCTAAATCACCTTCATAAATACTGTTTGCTTTAAGCCCATCTGCATGATGGATAGATTAATCTGCATCATACTGGCATGAAAAACACTTTTGATCTCATTTTTGAAAACTACTCGATGGAAACATTGGGCTTGGACTTTGGAGAACCAAATGTAAAATGCTACAAGCAAATGACTGTTTAGTAAGCATTATGAACTATTTTCAAACATTTAGTGTGAAGTAGAAGCATTGAATCCTATTTATTCATCTAAATCTAGTTTAAATGTATTGTTAGTCTAGTCATGGGCTAATGTGCAAGTTTGGATTATTTTGATGTAACAATTAGGATTCATTTTTGATGTGACAGACATATGTATACTTCACCCTAAGTGAATGCAATGTATATTTGTAATCAATAATAATTATGAAATTATATAAACAAGTTATTTGCAGCACATAGTGCTTAATATTTGGTTTTTCAAAATTTCTTTGAATGTCATATTGTTCAACGGAACAGGATTGGAGTCAATATCAACTCAGCTATTATTGAATATTTATAATTGACTGACTCGAAATTTCACTCAGATCACTAATACAGAGTTTACTTGCCATTTATTTTTACATGTAGGCAACTGACAGCAGTCCTGTTCAAGAATATCCTGTTTGTGACGACGTTTGATGGTTGTTGTTGTTGTTGTTGTGTTTTTTTGGTGTTCGGTTCATCGGTTGGTGGGGTCAGTGTGAGGCATATGTCCGTGTGCATGCCCTGGACTTCCACACAGATCACTGGCTGCTCAGGTTGTTTTGATGTCCTTCCTCACAGCAAGCTCCAGGGGGCGTCCGTCAGCTCAGAAGAGGCCGATTCGGGCCGCTTGAGTCCTGTTCTGACAGACCCGGTCCTCGTTTCTCCGCGTCCCAGCCACCACAACCGTCGCAGTGAGTCAGAGGCCGTGGGAAGGCCATTTTCACTGGAATTAAATCTGATCGTTAAGTTGCAGAAAAATTGACTATGCTATCAAACTCAATGGGTTTTTGGAATGGGTTTTTTAATATGTAATATGTAAATTGTGGCACATTTATATGCATGAAATCGAATCACGTAATTGCAATGCAAGATTTACGATCCATATGGTGGGAATGTCATTACGGTTTGGCTGGTTGTGGGTTGCAGGCTGGCCTGGGACTTCTCAGTCAGTGGACATCTGTGAGGGTCTGGAGGACTGGACCACTGACATCTCAAACATCTCAGACTCTGATGAAGAAGACGATGTGCTGCTGGTGAGTTTTGACATTAAGATATCGCTCAGATTCAGTTATTTGGAGGGAACTTTTAATTGTTTAATTAGGTTTCAACAATGAAGGATTTTGGGTTTATCCTGTCTATTGAAACCCTGCTCCTGGAGGCCCTCTGCCCTGCTGAGTTTATACCAAATCTGATTCAGTCTGCGATTTCTAAGCGATCCTGAAGAGCTTGACTAGCTGGTTCAGGTGGGTTTGATTAGGTTTGGAGTAAAACTCTGCAGGACAGTGGGCCTCCAGGAGCAGGACCTGGTCTAAATGATTTGCTTTCACCTTGTCTTTTGCTGGTTTGCTTGTTTTTTAGGTTCCTGGAAGGTATAGAGCAATGGTGGATCACTTAAAGTGCGGCAAGGACGACGTTATCGTCAAATGTGGTGATGTCATTCATGTGCTGCAGGAGAGTGCTATGGGGCTTTGGTGAGAGTCAGTTCCATTTTTAATGTATGCTTAAGTTGCATTTAGTCTTTTCTTTCCTATTGTGATGTATGTGTTAAATGGCTTTTCAAACAAGAAAAAATGTAGGTTAGAGTAAGCCAGATAAGATTGACGATTTTCAGTCCAAAAGCTCTTCAAATCTCTGAAAAAATATGCACAGCCAAAAGAAAATGATAGAATTCAATTGTCATGGCAATCAAGGTTTATGAGGACCATTTACCTCCTTGAAAAATTATGACAAAATAAAATTATAAAAATTTATCAATTTCCCTGCCTGGAGAACAATACAACAGGAAAACAGATTAAGAGATTTCAGTCTTATGACCTTCATCAGGCATACACTTCATCTTGGTTATATTTACAAAGAGCCTTCGAGTCATCTCCCACCATAGACGTTATCCATCTTTTTAGAGGGTCACTCTTCCACTCCTTACTGTAGCTACAACGTATGCCACTTTGAAATAGCAATTACTTGAATATACAGTAACAAGTTCAACATCTGACCCCTTATTGAGACTCATGAATCATTATATCTGCCTGCTATCACTCATGATTGGCTAAAAGTGCAGGCTCAGCCGCAACATCAACCCCAACCCAGATATTGTCGTCCTGCCCAAACCAATTTTTACCGGCATAATCAAAATCAAAACTGCCCAGTTGGGTGGAAACCTGCCCTATGTAGCAACGCTGAGAGGGTGGGACTTGATTCTGTCCATCGTTAATTGATTATTGCTGTGATGTTATGCGAGTAACAGGTTGTCCTGCCTTTGTGCATCAGTATAAAATGGATATTCATTTTGAGATTACACTTATATCAACTGATATGGTACCAAATACTGATATATTGTGCATAAAACGCCACCAACACGTTCTTGCCCATAAGACTTAATAATTATTAACCCCCATATATTTGGCTCCAAAATGCTGACATTATTTTCTGGAATATAACATTGATTCATTGCCCTCAGGACGAGAACATATGAAATAATTTTGGATCACTAGCAGGCTTGGGAGGGTTACTTTAAAAATGTATTCCGATACAGTTACAAAATTACTTCATAAAAAAGTATTCAGTAACGTAATCAAGTACCAAAATATGAAAGTAATGTAACTGATTACTTTTGGATTACTTCAAGGACAGATATTATTAAAACTTTTACTTATTAAGAATTTCACATCTCTAAAATATATTTATTTAAAGGGCTATAGAGACATCTAGTGGCTACAGTATAGTTTTACAGATTATTATGTAGGCTACAAGATAATAAAAACACGACATTTAAAAATTCTACACAATCTTATCTACATTTTAGTTTATTTTAAAATAGGAAATAATCTGTTGACTAATGCCGTGTTCTTTCTTAATTTGCCTGACTGAACTTGGTCCGTTGGCAGTTGGAGTTCCACTACGCTAGCAGTAAGCTAACAACAAGGCACAGTTTGCACCGTAAAACTATGTTGTTGGAACTTTCCTCTTTAAAAACAAAATTTCCAGCGGAATTTCCAAGAAATTGAAGCAGATTTTTACCTGTGAGCAGCATCGTTTCTAGCAGCAGTTATTCAGTCCGTGTCTGAGGAGATTGTTGTCGAGAGCTGTTATTTCTGTGTTATTTTACGCAATCACCAGCGGGTGGAACACGTGACTTAAGGATCTCGATAACTTCCGTCGATCGTACAGTCCAATGCAATACCGAGAATATATTGAATTTTATACTCCATGGTTATACTAAAGAAACGTTAGTCACAAAAACAGATAAAACAGACACCCCTCGTTGTGTTTAAATGCTTCTTTTTGAAATTATATTAAATAAACATAACTATATATAAAATTACATCTAAACGTATGAAAGTACTACGTTTTTTGATATAACGTAACGAATCACAGTTACTGGATTTTTGTATTCTGATTACATAACGCTGTTACATGTATTCCGTTACTCCCCTAACACTATAACAATCTCCTCACTAGTACAACAAGCATCACTCTAATTAACAAGTTAATGATTAATATCATCCTGTAATTCCCACAGGCATGTTAAGAATTTGACTCGAGGAGGTGAAGGAAAACTCCCTGTAGATACACTTCTGAGAATGCTGGAAGATGCAGGCAGAAGTCCCTCCATTAGGTCGGGCAGTGGACTTGTGGTGAGAAATTAAACTGTACATAATGATTTTTGTCTCCTCCTGCTTAGTGTAAGTTTATTGATGTTGGAAACAGTACCTTTATCATTAACACCATACTCTAAAATACTACTTATAAATATCATTAAAATATGTTGAACATTTAATTTTAAAGGGGACATGACATGGATTTTAATGTTTTTTGAGGTTCACTTTTAATGTTAATAAAGTTTTTGGTTTTTTTGGGCAAAAAAAAAAAAGTGGAAAATCAATTATATTCAACCTTCATTCTGACCCTCCATCTGAAAATATAAGTTTTAAAGGGGCGGCTCCTTTAAGGTTTATCAGTAAACGGCAAAATGATTGGCTAAGGTCATTGCATAGGAAACAGTATAAACGTTCACCTGCTATTGTATGCGAGTAAATGTTTTGAAAACATAACTGTCATCCACAGACAAAGCATTATGATATAATTTACTTACGGATGGTTTGTGATGCAAGCTGTTGTCAGATCCAATACAGTTGGCTGCTCCATCTTTCGACAAAAGTTTCTTTGCGAACTCTCCATAACACTGGTGCCTCGTTTACAAAACAAAATGCTACAAACAAACGTATAAGTCTCCGATGGGATCCAGTATGCCATTAAAATAATGAATGGCATAAATGTCTGACTCCGATTCGAACTTAAAAAGCTAATGTTTTTGAAAATGTTCAGTGCATTTCTGTGTGAGGTAAAAGGAGCTGTTGAAGCTCCTTCCTCTGTGCTGGAGCAGCAGCTCATTTGCATTTAAAGGGACACACACAAAAAACTAATTTTACATCTTGTGAAAAGGGTGTGATAATGTACTGTATAACTATTTGTCGATGTCTTGCTCTTGAGGCAGTCATATGTATTTGTCCGATTTTTTTCATATGTATTTGTCCAAGCCATTTTTGCTTAGTTAAATAAATGCTTTGTTTATAATGAGACAACGTTTTAAGCCTTGAAACTTGGATGATGTATTACTGGTAGAGAGACCTCTTATATTTCAAAAGATGGGAGGCGAATTTGAGTTCTCATGTCATGACCCCTTTATTATTTTGATCAGAATTGAGCATAAATGTGCTGTTCTGCAGTAGATTTTTTTCTTTCTCTAAAACAATTTGGTGTTGTTTCATAGATTTCACGGGAAATATAAACAGCAGGAAGCCCAGAAACACCTAAGTACATAAACCACATGTACACAAAGCTCCCACCATGTGACAACCCTAAAGGCCATTACTGTCAATCAGGACTGAGCCCAGTCATGCCAAAATGACACACAAACAAACAGAAAGTCAGGAGAACAGAGCCACCTAGTCAACAGAAAGTTTCCGTCTGCCATCAGTGGGGATTGTGGATTATGTTGGATTAAAAGACAAAAAGAGACACCACCTACAACAATACAGTGTGGAAATAAAAGGAGCTTTGCGAAGCACAAACCACTGATCCACTTCATCCCAGGAAGGTACCATCACCATACTGTGCCATAACACATGATGTGAAACATGTATTTGTGTAGTTAGCACAGTATTTAATTGTATTTTAAAACAGGAAGGTTTATAGCATGGCGTGTACACTGACCTGTGAGAAAAGCAAACGTTTTTCTCTCTCCTCAGATATGGTGGTTGGACACTTGTTTTAAAAAAAAAGCCATTTAATGCTGGAATAGATTAACTATAAGACCAGCGCTACAGTGAATGAAAGATGAAAGCTCACATCAGTAACTAGTCTATGTGCCAAAACCTAACATTCCTTTTTCAAAGAGTATTAGGTTCTTTTTTATTATTCTGACTTCGCTTTGGCATCAGTATTTCAGAAATCTCTCAGCGAAATGTGCAAGAAATAGTTATGTGAGGTGAAAACTTTTAAATCACTTTTCAGCAATGTGATCGCTTTAATGCTTCACTCTTATGCTTCAAAACATGCTGCTCATCTTCAGATGATCCTGCGTTTATGTTCATGTTTACTTTACGTCAGATTAAATATGGCTGTTCGGGGCTATTTAGCACATCTTTTTAGTTGTATTTTTATGGGACTAGAAAGGGCATAACTCATTTGTTAATATTTAGTTTTAAACTGTATTATATCTGTATTATATTTGAGTTTTTGTCATTGAAATAAAAAATGTGCTTGGTGGTGTACATCATCAAAATGCCCACTGTAAACTTTCCATTACATTTAAAAAAAAAAAAAAAAGTTCTCCCTGTCTCTTCCTGCATTTACAATATGCACTTAAAGGGATACTCCACTTTTTTTGGAAATAGGCTCATTTTACAGTACAACTCCCCCAGAGTTAAACAGTTGAGTTTTACCATTTTCGAATCCATTCAGCTAATTTTCTGATATTTAGTAGAAATTCAGTAACCAAACCGTTTCTGGTTTCATTGACTTCCATGGTATATTTTTTTCCCTACTATGGAAGTCAATGAGACCAGAAACTGTCTGGTTCCTGATATTCTTCTAAATATCAGAAAATCGGCTGAATGCATTCGAAAACTCAACTGTTTTAACTCTGGGGGACTTGTAAAATGAGCCTTTTCCAAAAAAAAGTGGAGTATCCCTTTAACTTTGTTAACCGCTTAGAAACTATTGAGGTGAATATGCAAGATGTCATCTATTAGTTAGCCTCATTAAAATCTACAATGAATAAATACACAACCGTTCAAAAGTTTGGGGTTTTATTAATTTCATCCAATTCAACTGATCAAAAGTGTCAGTCAGGACACTTATAATGATTTATATTGTAAATAAATGTTGTACTTTTGAACTTTCTAGTCTTCAAAGAATGTATCAATATATTAGTATATCACGGTTTCCACAAAAATATTAAGCAACCAGCACAACTGTTTTTAGTACTGATAATAATAAGTAATGTTTAGCCATCACAGGAATTACATTTTAAAATATGTTAAAACAGTTGTTTTAAATTACAACAATATTTTACAAAGTTACTATTTGTACGGTATTGACCAAATAAAAAAACAGCCTTGGTGAGCATAAGATGTCTTAAAAAAAATATATATATAAAGAAATCTATCAAAAAAAATTAAAAACCCACACTTTTGAAAGGTAGTGTACATGTGGATGTCATAAAGTAAAAACAGATGAATGAGTTTCATGTGTACTTCAGTTTGAAGGACACGTCTTAAAGCCATACAGCTAAAGGTGTATAATATGTACAGAGTTAGTAAGAAGAATGTGGTACTGTATATCATGTATGAAAATAATTTCACTAGATGTACAAGCACAATGTATAAGATGGTAAACTATATATTTTCTTGATTGTTACAGTATGTTTGTTGAATGATGACTAGTAAATATTATCTGTACAGAAATGACTGTGAGCTTCTCAAATCAAATCAAACCTGTAAAATGGCCTGCTCTAATTCAATCTCTGTTGACCAATTTTGGACATTTGTCCTGTTCTGATCCCAGTAGTGTTGCTTATCCAGTACATATATTTTGAGATGCGGGTATAGATGCCATACTTCCCCTTTTTGGCGCACTCTTCACCCCAGCTGACGATGCCCGTGAGAAACCACGTGTTCTGGTAGCGGGTGGCATGGGGTCCTCCGCTGTCTCCCTGACAGGAATCCTTGTGTACCGTACTGTAACCGGCACAGAACATGAAGCGGGAGATGGTATCAGTGCTGCTGCTTTTGCACTCTGTCCGGTCCACGTAGGGGAGCTCTACTTTCTGAAGTGTTTTGGATTCGATGCCCCCGAACTGTATCTTTCCCCAGCCGCTCACCAGGGAGTTTTGCGCGCTCTTGAGCAGGTTCTCCGTGAAGTCTTTAGTGCCCAAGCAGATGGGCAGGACGTAGTCTGAAAATTTAACGGGTTCCTTGAGCTTTAACAGGGCGATGTCATGATTGTAAAAACCGTGTTGAGAGTTGTAACGTGGATGGATATGGTACTCCGCTATGTTGTGGTCACTCTCTTTCCCCTCCTTCTTTGAGATGTCATGTTCCCCTAAAGAAATATAGCAAATCATTTACAATATGCATGACATCACATCACATTTGCCCTGAAAGACAAACTGTTGATTGTTAAGAGTCTCTTAAATTAAATAAAAAGCAATGATGATAAATTAAATAATTATTGTCAAACGATTAATCACGATTAATTGCATCCAAAATAAAAATTTGTTTACATATTATATGTGGGTGCACTGTGTATAATTATTTTTTTATATATAAATACACACACATGTATATTTGTATATATATTTTCATGTATATACTGTATATAGATTCATATATCATTTATATTATATATAAATATAAATATTTTATATATAAATAATATTTTTTTTTTCTTAAATATACATGCATGTGTGTGTATTTATAAATATATATACAAAAATAATTATACACAGTGCACCCACATATATTATATAAACACAAACGTTTATTTTGGATGTGATTAATCGCGATTCATTGTTTGACAGCCCTAATATTTTATTTTATATATAAAATAAAACAATACATTAATAATAATAAATGGGTTAATACAAATAATAATGTATAAACAGAGAACATAGTGGTAGTAGTGGTACTAAAAACAACAATAGTAATTTTCTTGCTTTATATGTACAAATGCATATTAAAACTTTTTTTTTCATATAACCAAATAGCAATTACGTGACAGTGTAGTTCTCTCACCCACTCTGATGAAGAAAGATCCCACTTTTCCTTCAACACAGTGGGCAGCTGTAATGACCCATTCTTCACTGAGAAGAGAGCCTCCACAAAATACAATCTTATTCACCTTTGCTATAAAAACCACCTGCCAGAGAAAAAGACAGATAGATATTAATTCTTTATTTATTATTTCCTCCATTATAAAGTTCTGTTCTGTGGATTTTTCGACACAAACCAATGATTATGTCTGCCCTGCTTCATACGACGAGGAGCAATCTCATAAATGTTTTATTTACACACACACACACACACACAATTCATCTCTTCACTACCTGCCAGGGAATCTCCCCTGGTGTTGCTTCATTGCCTCCTACAATGCGATGATCATTGTTTGTTGCATTTTTGATACTTGGTTGAGTGGGAAAGAAAGCCCAGGAGGAGCTGTTGTCCAGTGTAGGTTGAAGTGTGCTGGTGCCGTTCACTTTAGGGGCATCTGTAAGACTGGACTCTGTCATATTGTGTTTGGTTGTATTGACGTGATTGATGGAATGATTTTGATTTCCATTCTCAGCACTGATAAGGGATCTTGAGTTAAGAGTTTCAGCAATAATCTTACTGAGACGTCCACATGGGTATTGCCCTATAAAGATGCAAGTAGATGAATCAAGAGCAAGATCTAATCAACTAACCAACCCAAGCCTCTGCTAAAACATGCAATCAAATTCCTTGAACGTAAATGGTATTCAAAATACACTACTGCAGATGAAAGGTCATACTGCGCAATATGAGAAAAGCTTAGAGGTTGAAATACATTATGTCCCAGTGACAATACAGATAAATGACAATGTCATTATGGCATGTAATAAGGGGGAATAGATTCCAGTACCCGTAGGTTCACATGTCCTGCTGTCCAGAGCCAATCTGTAACCCTCGGCGCAGTCACACACTGCTCCATAGATTTTATCCACAGTGCAGAAGTGCATGCAGCCTCCATTATTTACCGTACACTGTTTTGCCATCTCTGGACCAGACCAACCCATGAAACACAAAATAGGTTTTAGCAGAGGAAGACCTTATAATTAACTAAAGCAGGTTAAGAATTTCTACTAGCAAGATAAAAAGGTGTATATTAATATAAATTTGATGATTTTTAAATAAATATCTCTGTGTGCATATATATTCACTTTGTTTTTTAATATATAAAAATAAAAATATATATATTATATATCTATATATAGACAGTATATACAGTATGTATATATTATTCATTCATATATATATATATATTATATATATATATGCAAAAAAATAAATAAATGTCATATCTGATTTTTTTTTTCAAAAAATAAACAGTATTACTAAAACTATCAAATAAGAACATATTTTATTGGCATGTTTCTTTATATATTATGTTGTCTGAACTAGAGGATCTAATGTAAAACCGTATAGTTAATAAGCTCATTATGGATCTTACCTAACTCACAGTTCTTCCCACTAAAGCGTGCCTGACACCAGCAGGTGTATGTACTCATACCATCCTCACATTTTCCACCATTCTGACAAGGATTCGACTGACACTGGTCTCCATCTGAAAGAGGAGCGGCCATGATCATTTTACTATCAATAGATTCAGTTATGTTTATGTAATTTAAATTAACACACACTATGGACAAAATAAAGGATAGAAAAAGTTGGACATAGCACATACATCAACATTCATACTCACCAATATAATTCCTCCAGAATTTCATCTGAAACAAAGTTTGGACAGTTTTAAACTCATAAGGAGAGAGTCCTAAAAAATGTTCTCAGGAGATAAATATGTTAATGCAACTCACAGTTTGCTCCTGGTCTTCAAAGACCTCTTTGGCCTCCTCTAGACTGCAGCGCTCTTCAAAACATTCCCTTTCCAAGTTAGCCTTCATCACAACCTCCTCCCATCCTTTGTTGAAGCGTTTTTCTCTCTTCAGAAGAGACCCCGCCAGCTCTCTCGGCAGAAACACTGAAGCTACATACACAACATAGGCACACTGTTAAATCACAAACGCCAAGGTCTGTTTCTAGGATGAAGTCGTCTACAAGCACCGAAGATTTGGCAAGAGAATATTGTTTTACTTTAAAAGGCTTTTTATGCTGAAGTCTGAGGGATCACTTTAGTTCCACCATGATATGAACGAATTTACAGTTGATTTTTCTTTTTTTTTAATGTTTCTCTCTTTACTCTATAGTGGTTATAACACAAGTTTTTTTACATTTCAAAAGACTACATGTTACATACATGTTACCACCTCAAACTGAGAATTAAAAAAAAAAAAAAAAAAATCACACACACACAAACACAAATATATGATTTCCAGGAACATACATAAACAAGATTATAATAATGTCAACATACCTTCAGACATCAGCCATGTTTCAAGCAGCAAAGTGCATATCAAAATAATGTGATAAATCTTCAGCATTTTCTCTTTGATGATTTCCCTTAGGCAGAAATCTTTCTCAGCAGTCACAATACTTTCATGATCTGTTCCAAAGTTCAGGACATATCTGTTTGCACTTCATGCAAACAGATATCTCATCCGGTGGGTGTTGTTTTTTTTCCCCAGTCTGCACCTGCAGTGTTTGTGGGTCATTTTTCCCTGCATTTTACCTTGTAAGCAGTTTGTTGTGTCATGAGAAAGCATCACAGTGTTTGAATAATGCATTTTGTCACACTTCAGAGTTCAGACTTCATAACATAAAAGTATGAAAACATGGATTAGCCTTATCCCTGTGGATGATTATATGTTTATGGATAACCAATCACATTCCTGAGTCATTTCTGTCTTCCCCCCCCCGCTGATTCAAAGAACTCGGTTCAGACTTGGGACCCAGCAAATATTGACAAGACTTGGCTGACTAATACTGACCTCATAACTGCAACTGTCCATGGCTGCATGCTATTAAGAAACAACAAACACCAACATTATGTGCTAAGAGTTGAAATGTGCTATTTTGGCATACAACTATACCTTCTGACAAACTCTTTCGTTGAAAAAAATATACAGTCTGTATAGCATATTTGTTTGTTTTAATTGCAACTTGTTCTACTTTAGTGATTTATGGTGAAGAAGCCAAAATACATTTCCAGAGAAACTAAGCTTACATGAATTTTTATATGACAGTATTTTGACACCGGACAGACCTAGTTTAAAAGTTTTAAATATTTATAGTGCTCATATCCGACAATCCAAACTTTGAAAAAAAAAGAGACTTGCCTCATCTTTTTTATGTAACAGGATATGTGACTTCTCTCTGGCAGTCAAACAGGAAGTTTAAACTACATAATTAATGCAGCTCTTGGATGGGTGAATGCAATGGGAATTAAGGCTTTCTGGTGGTCAGTCAACCTTTTCTTTGTCATCTTAATAATTCAGGTATTCAATTTGTAAAGATTTATCTCACTCAAACGATATTTTCGAATCCTATACCTTTTCAGGCGAACTTAATTTCTCAGCAGAAAACTATTTAGAAAATGAAACAGGATGCCTTACTGAAAATCCAGTGGGCTACTAATATAATCTGTTATTTATTTAGAAAATGAATGAATAAAATTAACCAGTACAGCCTTGGTAGCCTAATGCCTCCACAAATTAAGCAAGCACAACGTAAATGATAGCGAGCTGACGATGGGCCATAACGTTACCTGTTGATCTAGGCCATTTTCGTTTGTTTGTTTGTTTTTTAACCCATTTAACATATTTTCTTGGTTATATTCTTATTTACCGAGCTGTAGTCGCTCTTTAAACAAAACCATGTAAATCAAAAAATTCGTAGAGTTCAAATAATGAATGTTCTTGCGTAAATCTACGCAATGTTTGTCAATAGAGAGCATTTTTTTTTTATTCTTCTGACTGAAATGCGACGTCATGCGTCACGTGGAGAACTTTGGGACTGGGCTTTACAACACGACCTCAATAGTTGCGTAGCGAGGGTGATACACCGCCATGTGGTCTGATTGATGTGTCAAAGCACATCGTGAGCGCACGAATTGTAATCTTGCAGACTGGAAACTGACCGTCACTAAAACAGCTTGGGAAGTGTCTTTCACGTCTTAATTTTGTCTGAAAACTGTTGTGACAGTTTTTTACGCCTTGCTTTGCTGCCTTCTTTTGTCATAAGGAACAAAGCGTTATGCACGCCTGCCAGAGAAAATAATAACGACCGGAAAACGGTAAGGATTCAGCAACATTACAATGCACTGACTAAATTATTCATTAAATAGGCTTACATTAAATTGCTGCAAATATCTGGTGAGTGTGATTGTAAAACCATACAGAATGGATTTATTCTGGATATGTATAGTATTCTTGGATTTAAAAATAAATGAAAAACATAATTAAAAAGATATTACAATGGGAAATCGTTATGAACTGAGCTCTGGTTCCTTTAAGGAGGGGTTGGCCATTGTTTAATAGAAGAGCCAGTTTTAAATGATCGGACCGATTTGGTATCATCTGGAATTCTTCATCAAAACTGGGATCTATGAGCGGGAAAGCATTACTAAAGACGAAAGAAGATAAGGATGCAAACAAGGGTAAGACATCGCATTATTTTGCTTAAACCTTATTGTTCCACCCTCATAAATTTGGTTGTTTATAATTGCGCGGAAAAGGCGCACGTTGGAAGCCATTGATAGTTCTGGTTATGCATACGGTTACAATTAATGGGCCGCTGTCAAGCCCTGAAAATGTATTGCACTGAAAATCATTACATTGATTCCCTCCTCGTCATAGCCTATCTGCATCTATAAAGAGAGCAACTTAAAATTAAATTATATTAAAAAAATATGTTAGCGTTTAAGCTTAAAGATATGCATAACCAACAAGTGTGATGTTTATTTTGCGATTATATTTGAGGTGAATCTCATTTGTGATGCGGTCACTTTAAATCTACTTTAACAGCTGAGCGCGCGCGCTTCACGAGCAGCAAAAATAGCTTTCCAGTCTTCTCACGGTTTGCGTTTGCCTCACAACAACTAACGCCCGATAAAACCTGTTGACAGCAAGAAAACAATTATGTTTTTATTTCTTTTTCTTGAGCGTGATATAGCCTACTACCCGCGCTTCAGTTCACGGATGAAGGCTGTGGGTACCTATTGCCATGGAGACAAAGAGGCGTAGAGGCTGCCTCATAAAAAATACATAACATGCTGTATAAAGCAGATGTATTCTGTTTTTAGTGTCTACAGTGGTTCTTTCACTGGACATAAATTGCATAACATTTTATATAAGGTCAACAAGCATTAAAGTGCATGCCTGATTTTTAGTCTTGGCTATGTGTGTTGTGTGGTTGAGTTATAAGTAATAAAGCTTCACAAGCCCCTGAGGGGGAGCTGTAAATGCCTGTGCCGAGGATTATGTTTGATTAAATTGTTACAGGAAAAACTCATTAAAGTTTATTACGTCATGGAAAAGCGAGGAACAATCTACACATCTACACTGAGGCCATGTTAAATGAGGGCTCATTAAGACACAGCTTTTAATTATATATAATAGACCTTTGGGGATTCAGCCTAAATGAGAGATTAATCTTGTGTTGAGTTTTAATTGAACACACCGTCCATTTACACCTTCATTAATTCTGGTCACTTTATCTGTCACCACTTCCGTCCATGTTTTTAGTTTTACTTCAAATATACATTTTCATAACGTTCCATTTATGAGCATCAGTTACAGCCAGTTTCACAGACAAGGCTTAAGCATATAGTAACAATAGTAATAACTGAAAATGCATGTTTGAGCTGTTTTAACTGAAAGAAACTTGCACTAACATATCTTCAAATATGTCAGTGTAATTGTTTTCTCTCAAGATGCACACCAGTAAGGTTTTTAAGGGACATTTATAAAAGCTACTTAAATGTTGTAATTGAACTAAGGACTAATCCTTGCTTAATCTAAGCCTTAGATTAATCTAATCTGATTTAATGTTAATTTTATCTTTTACTAATATATTACGTAAATAAAAAGTTGCATTCATTATTATTATTATTATTATTATTGTATTATTATTATTATTATTATTATTAATGGACCTGAGCATATAGGAACAAACAATGAACAGTTTTATTGCCATTAATTATTGTTATCAAAGATTAATAAATACAGTTACAAATGGATTACTCATTATTATTTAATGTTAGTCAATCCATTAACTAATGTTAACCTATATCATATTCTGTGTTAAAACTAACAACATTGATTTTCTTTGTTGAAGCCTCAGCGATTAAACCTCATAAAAGTGTCAGTGACAAGAATTCATCATATGGGATCTACTATATATAAATCGACCACACATGTGTAAACAAATAATAAAAACATATTTTTCTAAAATGTAAATACAGGCAGGCTAGAAAATACATTATGTTGGACAATTTTAAAAAAATTGTCTTTCCCCTTTGTTTTTGCAGTTGGTATCGTAGAAAACAATATTGTAGGCTATTATGTCAAATTTGTATGTGTATGCGTAATTGCATGAATACAATTTTGACAAATGTCTTAATACTGTGATGTGTTCAGCTTTGTAATTATTGAACACAAATGTTTCAGTTAATAGTTTAAATGGGTGGTTGATTATGATTTCACTTTTCTAACTTTAGTTTGTGTGTAATGTTACTGTTTGAGCATAAACAACATATGCAAAGTAACAATGCTTAAATTTCAAAGCAAAGGTTTTTTTTTAATAGGCTGCTACAACAAATGGCTGTAGGGCCTACACAACATTCCTCCTGGGTTAGTGACATCACCAACCCTAGAATTTACATGAACCAACCCTGGAACATTGTCATGGCAGAAAATGCTAATAAATAACTAGAATATAGTTAACTCCACATCATCTATATAAAATTCATCAACTAAGCATTCAAAAATATCCTGTTGCATTCTACATGTTGTCACTTCTTGGGTCCCTCCATCATTGTCTAACTGAACATAAATGGTTAAACGTTTTAGAAATTTTCAGTGCATGTTTGCGTGAGGTAAAAGACACAGTTGATGAAGCTGAGACGTACATTCTCGGACGCGGCGCCGCGCGCGCGGTTACAAAAAAAGCCGTGCATACAGCCAAGCGAAATGTGTCTTGCCAGTCTTGCGCACCGAACGCGTCATTTTTGCAGAGCGCACCTTACGCTCGTGCGGACGTCTCGAGTGTAAACAAGGCTTTACTCCGTGTCAGCTCGTGCTCTAATCGGTAAAGGGGCAGAGATTTCAGACCTGTGTTTATTAAGCAGATCTCCAAGATTTCTCTTTTTTGTGAGGGGGTGCACAGACCTCTCCATAATCATCTTCAGCAGTAGCAGCCTCCGAAGCACCACTAACTCCGCCTCTGTTTACCTCGTAAGCTGATATTAATGTTTAAACATTCTCTATGATAAAAAAAAAAATATTTTAATAACATGTTTGCGGTCGTCATCGTGATAAATTCCGCCCCAACGTTTCTGATTGGTTTCTCTTTGCCAGACTAACTTGCTTAGCAAATCTAAATTTGCAGAAATTGTCCCAGGCTACATTATACCTCCACATTAGTGAAGAGGATAGTGTAGTTATCACTAAATACAAGGCTTTACCAATACCACCAGATGGCAGTAGCCTGCCTATCATCTTTTCTAACTTTATTGGTCTCTTTCGGGCTGTGTGCGTGTTTGTCCTACCAGATTTTTTTTTCTAATACTTGTTGTTCTGTCACTATGTTGAAGTATACACAATTCAAGATGGCAAGGAGTACATTCTGTTGCGGACGGAGTCAACTCAGTCTCTTGCAGTAGATAAGAAAGAAAACTCACCCTTTCGTAGTAAATGTCAGGAGCTCTTTTGCTGTCCATTCTGGAAACTCTTCTTTCTAAAGAAAAAAGAAAACGGTGAAGGTTTGTAGAGATGAGAGGTTTATCGGTTCTGCCTGCCTAGCACCTTAAAAGTTAATTTCACGAAAGATAACCAAACCCCCCAAAATACACCGTAACCCACCGGAAATAGCATGCGTTGTAGACGTTCAGTGCACGAAGTGCTGTTATGAATTTGAATGAACTGCTTTATGGTGGACTTTCTATCTCTGAATAGTAAGGGAATGTTTTCACGTCTAGGCCAGCACAAGTTATTGTTACTCCTGCATGTAGCCTACACACTGATTTATTGTTCACTTCAGGATCGCTTGGATGCGATAATGAGCCTAATGTTCTCTCTCAGCCCATTTTAAATGTTTTAGCGCCATCATGTGGTGACTTAAAGATCAGCCTCATCGGGGTGGGGTTGTTTTCGCCTTCTCGCCTGAGATGGTTCTGAAAACATAAGCACATTCAGTCATTAAAAATAGAGATTTGTATGATGACTTTGTGCCATGCAATGACTACAACTTTGTTTTCTCATCATAACAAGATCTGCTTAAGTTCTATAAACTATGAGCTTACTAATAGCCCTAATACATTTGATTGAGACTTTTTAGCTATGTTATTGCCAATTCAATTCAGTTCCTACATAGAGAAACAACTGTTTCTTTGTGTTGTGTTAATAGCATCACAGAAAATGTAATGTAGAAAAAAAGTGCTCCAGCTCAGGGTCCCTTAACTGTAAAGACATCAAGAAATAGATAGGAGTCACTATCACCAGAGATTTGATGTGCATGAGTATTATAGAGGCTGCGTAAACATAATAGGATTACATAAAACACTTGTGTATCACAGTGACTTTGATATGATCTCAAACTCACATTAGATTAGTCGCATTAGATGAGCAGGAAAATATGCTTGGTTGTGTCACATGTTGGCCCAACACACCACAGGAAGGAAGGCCAGACTAATTCGATTCCCCTTGTTTGAAAAAAAAAAATCCTGTTTCCTCATTACCTTGATATTTCATTAGTCTCTCTCTCTCACTCTCTGTGAATATGTTGGTTTGCTCTGTTGTTCTGGACTGGTCCTAAACTCCCTAAAGCCAGCCAGATCTCTGACACGTTTATTACCAAGATTAATATTTAGAAGCTCCGCTTTGTTCCCAAATGGGTTTTATTCATTGGCCCACCTATTATTTTTCATGACGCTGCCTGGGAATCAATATTGCATTCTGTTATTGACTTTAAGCTGAATATATAGAGCATATACATTTAAGTAAGTCCTCAGGTTTGTGATTAGGATTCATTCACAAAGGTTTGAGAGTGTTTGCTCGCATTACTCTCTTCTCTCCACCTCTTCTTGCTGTGAATGACCCTGAAGAGAATATTAGAGTTGGCATTATCTCCAGTGCATCTGATGAATCATTGATAAGGCGCCCTAAACACATAGTGGTCTGTCAATAATAGGCGATAATGATCTGCTATGATCGCTGGGCTGTGCACTTTTAATGGACAGAATACTCTTGAGAATATATTTGAAAGTTCGCAACGCCCCTTTTTCTTGTTTTGAACACTGAAGATGTGCAAAAGAATAAAAGTCATCTCTGGATGCCTCTGAGAGTAGGATGGCGTTTCCCTTGAGAAGATCTGTATCAGGTATACTTTTAGATATCTGAAGATATCCAGTCAGGGGCTTTCTTTAAAGGAGCTTGACAAATGAATGAGATATACATTTATATGCATGGTATGTTTGAGTGGTTGAATGGGTTTATTTGTTTGGCGTGGGTCTTTGGTGCTGTCCGTGGTGCTGAAATTCACCAATTCAACTAAGTGGCTTGGAAGAGATTTCAAGTTGTTTAATCAAAAGAGGATTGCTGTTTTAAAAAACAAACCGTTTTGAAAACTCGTATATTCGCTATGGAAAATAATGTATTGTTCTGCTGTTCTTTAATGTTGTTGGCACCATCTATCCTATACACTGTGTAAATGTTTTGTTAGGTAAATGTGCTTGATGCGGAAACATCATCTTCAGGGAATATATATATATATATTATATATAAATATATTATATATATATATTATATATATATATATATATATATATATATATAAATATTATATAACCTATCATTTAACTTATTTAACTTACCTTTTATTAATATTATATATATGCCTGTGTAAGATAATTCATGTGAAATTGCTGAAGATTTGTTGATATTTGATATATAAGTACAGTACACTCTAAAAAATACTGGGTTGTTTCAACCCAAATTTGGGTCAAATATGGACAAACCCAAATGTTGGGTTAAAAAGTCATAAAAAAAAATTACAGTTAAAGTGAAAGTTGAAGTTGGGTTAAAATTTTAAATTACATTTTTAACCCAACATTTGGGTTTGTCCATATTCGACCCAAATTTGGATTAAAACAACCCAGCATTGTTTAGAGTGTACAACATATGAATTTTTTTTTTCATAAGAAAAAAAAACATGCATTTAGTTACATATTAGTGAAATAGTTTTTTTTTTGAATAATAAGAATCACCTTTAATTAATGAGAAAAGATGCTTTCCCAGAATTCCTGGTTAGAACAATCTTTTGTTTATTATAAAAAATTGTTTTACTGCATTATTTTAGTGACTTGTGTGTCACACTGATGGTGTATGTTATTATTAGTTGCTGCAGAGGCCAATTTTGATTAATTTTTAGTCGTTATGTGGCCTTGACAGTGTAGTTTGCAGTAAAAACATATCTGAAAACCACACTGTACAAATTTACACTGTACAAATGAATATGCATTATCTAATCAATAAAATTGTGGCAACAGATTACAAGCAATATTATTATTAAATTGAACAAATTAGAATTGAGTAATAATTAATCAAATTATTACTTAAAAGTTAAAAACAATGATCACCATAATGGTGACTTAAATGTACGTTGTTGGTTTTTTTTTTTTTTTTTTGGGGGGGGGGGGTACGTTTTACTCATTTTAAATGGTACGTTTTACTCATTTTAAACTTTTAAGCAATTAATTTGATTAATTATTACTCAATTCTATATTGTTAAATTGAATTCATAATATTGCTTGTAATCTGTTGCCACAATTTTTTTGATTAGATAAAGCACATTCATTTTTACAGTAACTTGTCATTGTAATGCTTCAAAAATGCTTTTAAGGGTAATTTTTTTTGTAAAACGGTTGTATTTTTCTAGCAACCACAGTTTTTTTTTTACACTCTTTAAAATAAAGGTTCCATTCGCAGCAATGCCATAAAGAACCATTTTTGCTTCCCCTCATGAAACTTTCAGTGAGCAGTTCTTAAAAGAAGAATTGTTTTTCTGTAAAGGACATTTTAATAATCTAAAGAACTTTTTTTCCTTATAAAGAACCTTTTTTTTTTTTTTGCAATGGAAAGGTTCATGGCACATGTTTAAGGTTCTTATTGAACCATCAGTGCCAATAAATTGAGTGTATAATTGTACAGAACAAAACAAAAAATGATATACATAAAAAAAAAACTATTATAGAGTTGGATTATATGTGGCACAAAGGCCACTCCTCATTTCAGGAGCCTCAAGAGGCTCTAATGTTACCTGATTATACACAGCTGCTTATTGAAGACCACAGTCACGTCTCTGGGGCCGTGCTGCTGCAGGAGAACGAGCTGCTGCTGCTGCTGCTGCTGCAATACAACCCACTGTCGAAAAGAGAGCAGTCTGAAATCTCTGCAATAGTGGATGTGGATATTTTTCTTTCATGGATCATATTGCTGACACCAGAGTTTATGTGCCGTTTCCTACGCCTTTGAATTTCCATATTTTGGGCGGTCTTGGGGGAACGGGGACGGGGAATCTGTTGAGTACCTATGCAGATCTCCACTGCTGAAAACGAGAGCGCATCTGCAGGGGAAGACGATTAATCTACTCAACTTCAATTAAAAGCTGCATTATTGAAAGGCGGGGACCTCTTGCTCATAATTTTCCAGCACAATCCCCCACCCACCTCCTCGTTCTCGCATAAAGACACTATTTAATTATTTCCTCAGACGCGGTGTGTTAACAGGTGCCCGTTTTTCTGAATCAGCGCATGGCTTGGTAAAGCTTTGGATATGGCACAATGGCACGCGTTTCTCTCTCAGACAAACGCGCAACAAAAAGGCAACATTTTCTAGAAGACAGCTTTTTTCCCCGAAGAGAAGAAGAGGAGCTGCTGCTGTCCGGGATCTGCTGCACCATGGCAGGGCACAACAGCCGACGCTGAATGAAGCGACTGGAAAGGCTTCAAACCAAGTGATTTGTCAATGAAACAAACAAAAAAAATGCTCTTTCTTCTGAAATGACCGTTACGCAGTCCGTCATGGAGTATTGATTTTTCCTCCTCAGTGACAATGTTCTGAGCACACAGGACTTTAATATACACAACATATGGTCATTTTTAATCTGGGACGCGTCGCTACAACAAAACGCCAAACTGGCTACAGCCGCAGCGATCGCCAGCTCCCTCATTCGGCAGAAGAGGCAAGCGAGGGAGCGGGAGAAAGCCAATGCCAACCGATGCGCCAGCAGCCCAACAAGAGCATAGGGAACTGCGAGAAGCCCAGCAGGCTCAACTTATTCTCACGCGTCAAACTCTTCGGCTCGAAGAAACGCAAGAGAAGACGGCCAGGTCTGATGTTATGTGTGTTCTTTTTACCAGACTTTACCCAGATAGCCATGTCCATCAATCATCGTCATCATCATCCTCATTAATACACTACTGCTCTATATTTAACTGCTTATGCACTAAGATCCGCTGCGCAGAGTAACAAGACAAGGATTTCACAGTCCACTGCTTTTGAACACTGGCTTCTCTCTGAGCTAGAGCTGATGTTGCAATATCACCAGGTCACACAGCTCCTCACTTGTTCTCACTATATCATGCAGTCTGGATCAAATAAACAGAGATCTGTGGCACTCTGGGTTGTGCTGACTTTTTATTTGATAGATTGTTATTGCTGATAATGGCCATTTGTTGTAAATATGCTGATGATATGATCACTGGCTGGTCTTTTACTATATTCGGTTGTTTATGAATTAATATAGTGAGTTTTTGGTTGCTAGGTTGAGGTTTTTGTTGGGTCACAGAATATGTGCTTCATCAGATAACGTGCAAATTACACTCTAAAAAATGCTGGGTTGTTTGAACCCAATTTTGGGTAAAATATGGACAAACCCAGCCATTGGGTTACATTTTTAAATTACATTTTTAACCCAATGGCTGGGTTTGTCCATATTTTACCCAAAATTGGGTTCAAACAACCCAGCATTTTTTAGAGTGTATCAACAACAAAAAAACCTTTTAAAATGATATATTCTGTTGAGATATTCATGCTCAAAGCATTGAAAATACAACCAATTACAAGCTAAAATTAGAAATGCAAATTAATGTTAATAATAGGAACATAAATAACAAACTAATAAATAGTAACACATATGATTTAATATGACTGAACTCACTGTAAAAATTAATGCACTTTATCTAATCAAAAAAATTGTGGCAGATTACTGGGCAATATTATTAATTAAATTTAAGAATAGAATTGAGTAATAATTAATCAAATTAATTCCTTTAAATCTAACCATTTAAAATGAGTAAATCGTACAAAAAAAGTATGTTTAAGTCATCATTATGGTGATCAGTGTTTGTTTTAGGTTTGTTTTAAAATGACGGTTTTCTCCTTCAGTGATTCTGCTTGATAACATCAGATGTCTTCAATGTTGGCAATATAAAATAAAGATAATATAAAATAATTAATTTTTGTTGAATTTTTTGGTGTAAACTTTACTCATTTTAAATGGTTAACTTTTAGGGATAATTTGATTAATTATTACTCAATTTGTTCAATTTAATTAATAATATTACTTGTAATCTGTTGCCACAATTTTATTGATTAGATAAAGCATATTCATTTTCACAGTGTACTATTGGTCAGATCATGAAGAAATATACCTCTGCTTGTGGAGATGGGAATTTTAATGGATGACTAAAAACAATTTATTATTTTACATCATCAAATATCAATAGCACAGAATCGGTAAACATTAACGTGATGTGCTCTCGCTGCTCTTTTTTGTTGCATTTTCTCTTGTATACAATGAGGAAATAAAGGTTTGGAACTCATAAATTCAGAGATAGCCTACAGAAATGCATGTTATATAAGTCACAGTCATCTATCTCCTAAACACTAAGGCATGCTTGGCAAATCACTGGGTCCTGTTGGCACCAGCACTCACTATGTTTTCACAATTCACATTTGATGGTTTCCTTGGCTTGCCCAAGCTGTGCCTTTGTGTTAGATGCTCTTCTTCTTCTTCTTCTTCACCTCATATAATGTGCTGTTGCATGCCCTTCCTTTCCCCCCTTTCTCCTAATATGTGTTATGTCAATTTTACAGAGCCTCAGCTCAAGGGATAGTCACCAAGCTCTACAGTCGACAAGGCTTTCATCTACAACTCCAAGCTGATGGGACCATCAATGGTACAAAGGAGGAAGATAATAGCTATGGTCTGTTCGCTACATGAAACACGTTCAAACACGACCGAGCCTACACACTTCTTTCCCATGGGTTCAATTCTGTTTTGTTGTACTGTAACTTCACAGCTATTTTCAACCTCATCCCTGTTGGGCTGCGGGTGGTGGCTATACAGGGCGTTCAGACCAAGCTCTACCTGGCCATGAACAACGAGGGCTACCTGTACACCTCTGTAAGTAGGATGAACTCTGCATGAAAACTGCATCTTTGTGAGTCCCTCCTACACATTGTGGGCTCTTCTGAGTTCAGGGCAGTCGTAAACATCCCACATTTCGTCTCTGCCGCTCTCATCGGAGTTAAATCTATGTCTTTGACAGCATCATGGATGCCTGAGGATCCGAGCTGTTAACTTAAAGGTTGCAGGTTGGATTCCAGACAGCGGGCGATCGATAGACTGAAGAGATAATGAGATCCAACTCCTGCCCAAACACCATCTGCCCCTCTTATTTATCGCAGCAGTGTATCGTGATCTTCATATTCAAAGAAGAGATGATGGCATATTTAGACGTTCTTGTTAGCACCTCAACCTCACAAAGATAATTCACACTTCGAATAATTGCTTTGTATTTGGACTATGAATAGAACGCTCTCGGGAGATGATGCATCATCATACCCGAGGTTTTCTACAGTTTTCGAGTTTTTAAATATTATACTCTAATGGATATTCTGTTTTGCGACTGCCTCCCTCGCCTCTTTCCTTTGATTAAATGTGCTGTGGCGACATGAATAATTTAGTGCCGTGCCAATAAGTGCTTCTGTCAATTCAAAATGGACACTTTGAGCAACATTGTTGGCATTTGAAGTGGCCAGGTCTGTGCTTTCATAACGCAGGAACAGTTTACTCTGTACCTTGGCTTTTGCGGGTTCACGCCTGACTGCCACAGGAATAACTCAAACTCGCACCTATGGTCGTGCCGGTGTACACGCGTATCTCCTTGTTGATTTTGAGTGGTTTTTTCCCCTGGATGAATGTATTGATCCTCAGGAATGAGTCAAATTGTTTCGGGCCTCAGGAGTCTAACGGTAATCAATCCGAACCACAAACTGGACGGGGCGGCGTGCTACCATGTTTAGACCACTTATTACAGTTCCAATCAGTGGAATTTACCTCCAGGTTTAAAGACAAATCATGATGAGGTGTCGTCGCGTGGATAT